TTGGCCATAAGGTAGACGAGCCGGACGAAGGCCTTCCTCCCCTTGTTCTCCTTCTCGCGGTCGTCGAATGCATAGATGAGATCCTTGAGCTGGGCTCCCCGGAGGTGGGCGGAGCGGACGCCAAGCACGAAGCTGATGGCGTCCATGAGGTTGGACTTTCCAGCGCCATTGGGGCCGATGATGGCTGTGAAGTCGTAGAAGGGACCGATGGTCTGGAACCCTTTGTAGGACTTAAAGTTCTCGAGCTCCAACCGGTGGATCTTACCCGGGGAGAGTATGGACGGCATGGTGAGAGGCGCGCTAGATAGCCGACGACGCGTCCTCCGCTGCGGCGACAGCTGGTGCTGCTGCTGCGATGAATTCGAATTAGGGTTAGAGCAGACCGTGAAGGTGGGAAAGAACTACTCCGGAACGAGCTATGCGGTAGCGATGGTGGATCGAGGGACTAATTAGGGTTTGGGTGCGTGGGTGGGTGGAAGCGATGGACCAGAGAGAAGCAACGATCCGGCGAGGAGAGGGAGAGAAAGAGAGAGTGGGAGCGGAGCCGAAGGCGAGCGGGGAAACGAAATCAGAACCCGACTTTGGGATGGGGAAGTAAAATGTTTACATGTTCCCTTGACTTCGTCTATGCGGTCAGTGATTACGTGTCATTACTCACTTCAACACCATTGAGTTCTACTTGACAGAGGCATACGTACGTCTTTGCTCGCAATCCAAAAATGCTAGCAACGGGTGTTAAGATACAATTGAACTGGTTTAATTTCGGTTTCCTTGATTATTATGTACGGACGACGACGGAATTCAACCTGTGGATTGATACCAAATACGTTAACTGATATATTCAAAATTTTATCAATTGATGTTTTAAATATTTAATTTTTGGTAGGTAGATTTAGTATACCAACGATGTTTATCCAAATAGAACCTTTACTCATCTCCTTGCTTTCTTGAAGAAGAGGAAAGAACAAAATGCCTGTTTTGCTATAATTGAGCCCATTATTCCTTTTACGAGCACCTGGCTTGGAACTTTGTTTGCTATACCTTCATATTATATGCTGTAGGAATCCATAGATGATGGTTACTCTGTTCTGCTTTCCTTTTCCCCTTTAGGTTATTGGAAGTAATACAGATATACTTCTTTTGCAGATTTCATGTTCTTGGGTGTGTTTAAATTTTTTTTCCTCACGTATGAAAAATAAGATATTCAGTCGAACTTATCCAAAATTGAAACTTGTGTGCTAGACATTTGAATTTGAATAGACTCGGGTTACGGAATGATAATTAAGTTCTCCTACCTCACTCAGCTTAATTACGTTCTTACTATCTCCATCAAGAATATGTTCTTTTTCAATCAACAATGTCCTCTTGGATATAAAGACATTTTGGTCCTCGAGGTGATATAAATAATACTCATAAGTTTCCTTGAGGTATCTCATGAACTTACACCGTTCCATCCTGGATTCCAACTTGTCGAGGTTGTGTCTCTTAACATAGATATGGTAGTCCCAAATCTTAACAACCTTAAGATCGAGCTTTTTTTCCTTTTTCATATCTCATATGGTGTAGACACTACCAACTTAGTTGGAACTTTATTCAGGAAATAAGTTGCAGACTTTAAGGCATATCGCGATCGTTTTAGACTTGTAAATAAAGGTCATATCATGTGGATACTTATGGAAGATTTCGGTCTGTAGTTAATCATTTTGGACCCTTTTTTGTGCGACCATTCAAAGCTTATGAAATCTATTTATAATTTACATTGGTTATGAAGTATTTGCTTAAATGATTGCTTATGGATCTCGAGTGTGACGCTTTCTCTAACTTGTTTTCTCTTTTGTAGATTCTATGGGACCATAGGAGGTTTCGGAGAGGTTGACCTTTTCGGATAGACACGCAAGGCCTGAGGGGTGTAGCAGGGGTTGTATTGACATGGAGTTACAATCTAGTAAGTGCGTTTGCGGGAGGCAGAATAATGCATAGTTTGTTCAGCAAGGCGGAGTAATCCAAGGGAAGGTGGTCTCCGAAACTTTCAAATGGAAGGATGCGAAGAGAAAAGTTTCTCCAATGGGATAGATACCTTAGAGGGATTATTCTTGGTTCTCTAAAGGCCCAATATCGAGCTGGTCGTGAGTCATATATATCAGAACTTCTTTTGGCTCTATGAATTTCATAATAATTCACTTGACTCATCGACTATGGATGTATTAGGCCACTACGTCGTAGTCCCCAAACAACATTGGATAATTCAATCCTTTGGACCTATCTATCCTCAGTTACCATATACCTATAGTTTCTCATCCATCTAATACCCTAGAGACTGTATACCGGGTATGGTGCTGTCAGGCATATACGGTTTCTATTCGAGTCTCGCTCTAATCAGATTCTCCCGAAGAACTCCTTCTCTCTCAATTTGAATGACCTTAGCCAGAGATTTGTTTAAGCAAGAATATATATGATATTCCTCTCATGACACCAAGAGCAGATGATCCTTTATCGATACTCAATAGTCCTTGTAAGGTTAGTTGTCACTCTCGATAACCGGCTATACTAGATTTGAAAATTTCAGACCTATAAATTTGGTATCAAAGAGTGGAGTACTCATACATGACATCTTTGGTATCTCAAGTCTAAGGACCAGATACACCACTGAGACGACGAAATTATTGTCTAATAATGAGGTATCATCCATTCATTATTCCATGAGTGAATCAATTAGTAAACCTATTCTCCAATAAGCACATGCATTGTATCCTTAGTGTCTCCACATAATTAGCTATGAGACCAACCACCTCCGTCGTATTGACACCTTCGTCATATTGACAGGTATACAGTACACTAGTTTGTCCAATTATCTCGATATATTTCTTGAGTAACATATAATTAAGATTATTTATGGTTTATATTTAAAGGCGAATCGATCTTATTATCGTGATCTCATCACGATCCAATTCTCATTGCACAAATCCATGAACATCACAATATATATATATAT